GGGGGGGTCAAATTGACCCCCCCCCAGCAGGAATAGGGTTAACAAACTTGTCCTACACCCCATTTATCATAGTTTTCCTACACCCCCTTTAACAAACTTGTCCTAAAATGCTACCTCATCCTCTAAGCTGTTGATATAGGCATTGTTTTATTTCTGTTTTCTGAAATCCCTTTATGAATATTAAATGAATGCCTGTGAAATTCTCAAGTTTTCAACTTTTTGCAACTAAACCCTTCCCCCCCCTCCCTCATCCATCTTCCCTTTACCCACCTTCTCTCCATATTAAGAGAACAAAGAATAAATAATGTTATACATAACAACCTGATATCTGTATCAATGCTTCATCTCTTTATTTCAGTTTTCTCTTCAGGCAAGCATGAAATATCGAGTAAACATTGAATTAAGATGAACAAACGATGGAGATTAAAAATTAATCTCATAATCCTGTGCCATAATGTTAATATTAAAGGGTTTAGAATTTATTTATTTATTCAAAACTGCAGGCAGCTGAAAGACGGCGGGTTGGGTTCCCTAAGAAAATCAAATCTAGTGCAAAAATATTATAAATAACAAAAAAATCATGTTAGCATTTAATAGAAAAAAAAATTTCCTTCAATTGCTAAAACACAGAGTTTTACTAAATGCTTAAAAAATAAATTAAAGTTTTTTTATATATAGAATCTCATGCTTTTCCTGGTGAAAAAGTACATTTTGTTTGTATAATATGTTTTGAAAAGAAACATTGGAGAAAGGATCGCAATTATACTTTAATTAATCTTTTAGTATACATCTAGCTTTCAGAGGAGCATGGGTACTGGAATAGGGTATCCCAACGAGGCTCGCGCAGGAATAAAAGGTCGATACGGTACGAGGGGAAGATCCGCATCCTCTGACGTCACTGATTAAAACTATTGGTGGAGAATTCTCAGACCATCAAAGAAATGCCAATCACAATCATGCGTATACTCGCCAGTGTCCACTTTGTGCCCTGTACCGGGTTATGACGTAGGTAAGATACAGAAGCTAGAATTGTATGACTACCTTACCCTATTCAAGTTCCCATGCAGAGGAGCAACAACTGGCTCTGGCTCGGCGCTTCTAAGAGTACTCAGACTCCTCAGACATACAGGGTGAGAGAGAGAAAATGGCAAACTAGAAAAACCTTAGGCAGAGGTGTATAGGGGGTATACACCCCTGCACACAAATGGAAAATAAATTATTGATACTACAAGAAACATTGAAGGACTGCATTAATCTTTTAATGCTGTATTAACCTGGAGAATAGAGGTTTTTTACCTAGCTGGATCCAGATTTTGCTACTGGCAGCTTTAAATATATTCCTTAATAACAAGTCTGGTTAGCTGCTATCAAGTATCCAAACTCGTCGGAAAGACGTTAATTCTTTTGATTGAATCTGGTGCTATGTGTAGGCATCAAGGGAGCTCAGAACAGTCAGGTTCTTAAACAACTCTCTCCAGTTTCATGTGGATGAACAGAGCCCTGTGTGAAATAGCAAAGTAGTACCCAACTTTGACCTTAAGATACGTTCAAAATTATCTTTTACTTTCAAAATCATCTTTTACTTTNCTCTTTCCATTGTCTAGCCACATCACTCCATCTCTTTCCATTGTCTAGCCACATCACTTCATCTCTTTCCATTGTCTAGCCACATCACTCCATCTCTTTCCATTGTCTAGCCACAGCGCTCCACCTCTTTCCATTGTCTAGCCACAGCGCTTCACCTCTTTCCATTGTCTAGCCACATCACTCCATCTCTTTCCATTGTCTAGCCACATCACTCCATCTCTTTCCATTGTCTAGCCACAGCGCTCCACCTCTTTCCACTGTCTAGCCACATCACTCCATCTCTTTCCATTGTCTAGACACAGCACTCGGCCCAATTGTACATGTCTCATTCACTTAACTTAAACTTCCTTTAGCCTTTATTTAAATGAAAATGGAAAATAATCAATTTTTCAGATAGAAGAATAATAAATTTTTATTCCATTGTAAATCCAAATCATTAAAATTAGGTTTGTTTGAAATCACAAAATCTTCACGCGCTGACCTTAAGGAAAAATGACAAAAATAACATTTTTTACTGTTTCTCTCTGTATTTCTATTTTTTTTTGATAAAATAAGATTATTTCAGAGCTTACAATGTCAAAATAATGTTTATGTTAATGGAAACCATGCTCGGATTGCAAAATTTAAACTTTTCTTACAAAAAGTTACCTTTTTAGTATTTTGATATTTTGTTTGAATTCAAATGTATGAATCCTGTCTATTGTATGGCTTTAAATAGAAAAGTATTTATATCTAACTTTTTGTAGAAAAAAGTGTTGTTAAAGTAACAATGCCAGAGTTGAAAGCAATGTTCTTTGGTTTTCAAACAATGTTCCAAAAAAAGTTTGAATGAATTTTAACTTTAATTATTCTAATTTTGCGTATTATTGTATGTGATATGTAAATACTAAATTACATCAAGGGGGTATCCGCAAAACATTTAAACGTATTACGATAAAAATTAATAAAAAATCCCCCTTTTTGCTAAAATTTCTTTTTTCATTGGCTTCCTGCATACAAAATATACATGGTTGCTTGTGGCTAAGGTAATAAGACAAGGAAAGTTAATTGCTGTTGCTTAACCTCTGCGTACATATTGAAACCAGTTCTCTCTGGGCGGAAATTGAAATTTGAAAACAAGAATAGATGCATCAGTGTTCTTCTAGTATCCGAGGAGAATAAAAGCATAAAAGGAATTGAGTTTTTGCCACAAACTCGAATCTTTTGATCGCACTATCTTGGCAACCCGATGGTGCAAACCTTTGATATTTCAAACTTAGATTATTTTATCTATAAGTATTAATAGTTTGAAATATCTAAGGTCTACGACATTAGGTTACAAAGATATAGAGATTAGAAAATCAGAGTTTGTGGCAAAAACTCAACTCCTTTTGATAATTTTCATAATTCACATAATAGTTTCCTATGACCAGTATATTTCATTGATTTTTTATGTGAAAGATGGATCCTATGTCAGGCTGTGCCATCAGTCTTTTCTTTACTTTACCGCCCAGACAGTATACTGCAGAACTAAAATTGCGTACACCTCTGAAATAACTATCTTAACATTCCAATTCTTTGGTTGTGGCTACCCACAAAGAGTGATATTTTTATACGGACTTCAAACTCTTTGAATATAGCTATCTGAAGCTTTAAATCCTTAAATTCATGTAAAGAATTAACTTGTCGTTAAAGATTGAAAAAAGTTTACAAGGTCTGCCTAAATTCTGTACAGTGGTCCTTGAATATGTCCATAATGCATATGCTTGAAAAATTGTTTAATTCAGTTTTGCCAAGTTTTAAAGTTCTTTCCTTATTAACAAACATATTAATTACACAAAACTCTAGTTTTTCCATAAAAAACTTTTTTTATTTGGGGGGGGGGGTCTTGTTTTTTTATTGTCTTTTTAAAGAACTCAAGTTAATTGTAATTCCAAGTTTAAGTTTAAAATTTAAATTAAAACGTTTTAATTTTAAAGTTTAATAAGTTTTAAATCCTGTTACAGTACCTTTCATATTTGATTGACAAGCAAAGTCTTTTTTTAAAAATATGCATTTCCAGCGAAATCAAAATTTATTTTTCCAACTTTAGAAAAATTTTTGACACTTTTAAATCCCTGATTTTTACATTGCAACCCTGAAACCAAGGTAGTAATGTTAGATTGTAACCCTAGAGATGAAATCTAATTAATTGCGAATTTTTCTGCCAAGAGAAGTTATAGATTTACTTAGGAAACATTAATTAGATTTAATTTCTGAAATCAAAAATATGAGTTATCAAACCCATATAGATTTTACAGTTTTTAACCCTGAACAGGCTGGGGGGGGGGGGGGGCGTTTGGACCCCCCCCATGTAGTTTTTTTGTCCTAGTATTCTTATTTTAGACACTATCACCGTAAAATTTTGTAACTTTTAATGAAAAATAATTTAAAGGATTGTTTGTTAAAAAAATATTTTTTTTTATTTACACGGTAGGGTATAGTCTGGTCTGTAAATAAAAAATCTAAAATAGCCCATAACTTTTTTGTGACTAAAGCTACAGATCTAAAAACTATATTTTTGAAAAGCCCTTGAAAAATGCATGTAGAAACAAAAAAAATATTTTTCATTTTTAACCCTATGTTAGGCATTTTTTTCAACCCTCCTATAGCACCCAAACTATTATCAGTTATCAGTCTAATGTTTTTTCTTTGAGCTGGCCATGACAAATTGGGCTATGCACACGTTTTTTAACCCTATAACTATTCTCTAAGACCTTTTTCTATGGGGGGGGGGGCGCCAAACGCCCCCCAGGCTATACATAGATTCAGAACCCCCAGCTTTTATTAGGTTAAAACCTATAGAAGGTTGAGTTTTTTATTTGGCTGCAAACTCCATTCAGGGCTCTGCTTTTTTAATACAACATTATTTCTTCAATATTAGTTTTTAATACAACATTATTTCTTCAATATTAG